CATATCTAATACATGTATATTTTATGAAGATTGTTGTAGGCCTAGCAAATTGTCATCAACAAACAATCTATTTACAGCAGTATCACACAGGCACCTGACGAATGGCATAACATCCCCAACCTTCTGACATCTTTTATTAGAAACGAAAACAAAAATACATGAAATACATGAATTTCTAGCCTATCATACCTATATTCTGATATCTGATATCATTTTTCAATTTTGTTAATTTTTATAGATTGGCCCTTTACGGTTTATGAAAATACTAAAGGTAAGAAACAAAATGAAAAAGTTTGCAGATTACGAAAAATGATCTTGTAAGTAAACGGGGGTCCCCGCTTCGAGGGGGATTTTCAACGTACATACAGCATTGCCTATGGAATTTATATATGAGGCAGATCACTGAAATAATTGTTTTATAAGCCTCCTCTTTCCATTTACAATTTAAATGTTTCATTTAACACTGGCATAATAAATGAAAGTTTTGTCTATCCTCCATGTTGTAGTAGTCATTCTATAACTGGAGTGGAAGTTAAATTTCATATACTGAAACAGTATGCTTATAAAAGAGAGATAAGGGACTATAAATAAAAGTGCTAATTATAAAGGTCTTAATGATGAATAAAATGCAACTAATTGGGAGAAGGAAATCTTTAATTCTAACAACATTAACGAGATAAATACAAACTTTGTAAACAAAATAAAAACGTGCATTAAAAAACATATCCCAACTAAAACTATAACAATTCGTCCCAGAGATAAAGCATTCATGAATAATTCTATTAGAAAGCTAATGAGGAAAAGAAATCGTATAGACAAGAAAGCAGTCAAAACTCAAAACCCTCATCATTGGGAACACTATCGTAATTTAAGAAACAAAGTCATTGATGAAATTAGAGTTTCTCGAGATAGACTCAACCAAAAACTTTCTGACCAAATAGATAAATCTATACCCCCTGGAAAATGGTGGAGAATAGTTGAATCTTTGTCCAAACAAAATAATAAAGACAAACCACCACCAACTTTAAAGTCATCAAATCATACATACTTTCACCCTATTGAAAAAGCTAACTTATTTAATGAATATTTTGCTGGAGTATCAACCCTTTACAATGAACCTGAGGTCCCATTACATGGACCGGGGCCACCATTGAACTTTTCACTAGATGATTTTGTTATTACAGAGCAGGAAGTATTGGATCAGCTCCAAGTAATAAATGTTACAAAACCCCCAGGTCCTGACTGTATGTCTCCTTTGATCCTTAAAAATATAGCTAATTCGATAGTAAAGCCTCTTACCAAACTATACAATTATTCTCTTGCTACTGGTCAACTTCCAGACATTTGGAAAAATGCACAAATTACTCCCATCTATAAGAATAAAGGAAGTGCACATGATGTTAATAACTATCGACCGATATCAATAACTTCAGTTGTATGTAAAATCTTAGAAAAGGTCATATTCAAGCATTTGTATAATTACTGTCTTGAAAATAATTTAATTAATAAATATCAATCTGGATTTCAACCCGGTGATTCCACAACTAATCAAATGCTAGACATTTATCATACAATAATATCTAGTCTTGATAAAGGTAAAGATATTAGATTTGTCTTCTGTGACATCTCAAAAGCATTTGATAAAGTGTGGCATAAAGGTATCCTTTATAAATTAAAATACTATCATAATGGTATTTCTGAACAGATACTTAATTGGATCGAGAACTACTTGTCTGACAGAACCCAAAAAGTAGTTCTTGATGGCTTTTCATCAACCACTAGAGCTACCAATGCAGTTGTCCCTCAAGGGTCAGTCCTTGGTCCCTTTTTATTCTTATTGTATATTAATGACATATCTGAAAAATTATCAAGTCCTGTAAGGCTTTTTGCAGATGATACATCTCTTTACGTCATAGTTGATGATTATATTCTTAACTCTGCAAACTTATTAACTAAGGATCTTGAAAAAATAAAACAGTGGTCTAATACATGGGCAGTAGAATTCAATCCTAGTAAAACAGTTAATTTAGATTTTAGCTGGAAAAACTTTTGCCATCCAAAAATTAGATTTGGTGAAGATGGGCCTACTATTCAAAATGTTGAAACACATACTCATTTAGGGATAAGATTTCAGCAGGATGGTAATTGGAGATCCCACATACTTGATATTCATTCCAAAGCCTGTAATCTCCAAAACGACTTTATTTATGAAAAGTTTCCTTCCTTCAACTATAAGACTTTGGAATGATTTACCCTTTGATATTCGAAACCTTTCTACACTTTCATCATTCAAGACTGCAAAACTTTAATACTTTGCAATTACCAATGCCTATATCCTTACAACTTATTTTGAATGGAGACAATAATCTGACTTACAACCAAAATATTGCTGTATTTAAAATTGTTCAAGAATTTATTGCATCTACAAAGAGATTTGCATGATATTGATTCTTCTTTTTTTTTTTAATTTTGTCAAACCACAGAACCAACATCTATTTATGTGTTCTTATTAACTTTCACATTTATACTTGTATTATTATAATTATCAGTCATATATGTTAAATGCAATCTTATGTAGTATCATCAGCTCATTTATATTTTTTCCCCCTACTTATTTTGTCTTCTTTTTTATATATATACATATATATAAATCTCTTTAGAATATACACATGTATATATTTTTTCAATGTTATGTAATTAATATTTACTTGTAACATGTATGACTTGACCTGTATTGTGGAGAGGACTTATATAGGCAGTGCCTGCTGTCCAATCCAGTTATGTTTAATCATAATAAAATATTGTTTAAATTAAATTAAAATTAAATGTTTCATTTGTCCCAAATTGGCGATTATTTACCAGACTTAGTTCATTTTCATTTCACTGGCAGCGAATCAGGAGGTCGTGCTAGTCGATACTGGAAAACGTTAAAGGAGTTCCAGTTAGCTATATGGTGTATTAGGGCATCCGCTCTGGCAATATTAAAACTCTATATATTGGGAGTTTTTTTCACCATAATTGATTGTTATTTGTGAGTCAGCATATATCATCATAGTTTACTTTATCTAGTCCAGTTAAGTCCAGTTAGTCAAGTGTAACGAACATTTTATATTTAAACAAAGGTGATCAGTAGATTTAAAAAGGCCTGGACACAGATTTGAAGTATTTTCTAAAATTTTCCGTATAATATAATGACTTATATGTTGCTAAAGCAATTTGCACAGAAATAGTATAAAACGTGTTTAGAATCTTTTTTATCTGGAAATTATCAAAACTACGAATTTCCGGACGCGTTTGATTGACACGCATCCTTACACTTTCACGAAGTAATTTTATCTCTAACATTTAATAAAAGTGGAAAATTTGTTGTATATCAATGAAAAATATTAAAATTATAATCTAGAAAATTTAGAGTATAAAGGTGAGAGAACAAAAACCAACTCACCAGTATTGTCAGTCCGTGCTCAGTGATGTGTGCAGAGTAAACAAATTGAACACACCCGGTAAAACGTAAACATTAATAATAACAGAGCTCGTGTTCGTGTTTACAAACACAGGTGTTTGACGTGATGTTATGAAGAATGTTTTTGTATTTGAATTTAAAGAATTTTTATATAAGTTCAATTCATTAAACTGGTTATTATTTTTTTTAATAGAAATTCAAAATTGTAAACAAACCGGCAATGCAAGTGTCCAGGCCCCTTTTAATCAAAACGAACATTGATAAAACAAGAAACATATTTTAAATCAATAAAAATTAGATTCCCTTTAAAAATGCTTAAAGATTTGTTATAAATATGATCACTCAAAAACAATGATGAGTATGATCATTTAAAACTCTTCTCTAAAGCTATTGGACCAGGAATGGCGTGTTTCTACATCCTTAGTGAGTATAGATTCATTCAAATACTTCAGCAAAGAACTTTATTCTTTTCAAAACAGTATTTTTTTTACAAACAATACAAGCTTTTTCATTTTAACTTGGTGCATATCCTTAGTCTTGAGGAGTCTCAATACATGACTGCAATCTCTTGTTTTTCTCTATGTGCATATATTTTTTGCCCCATGAATTAATTTTCTGCTTTAAAAGATGCTTAATTAACTTTTGAAGTCAAGAAGGATTTCATTCATAAACAAACTATCTGTGACCTTGTTATTTGTTTCTCATCAGCCTGTCAATCCCCCGTTATCTCTCAATCTAAAGTGGTCCGATGTTTGAATTTCATAATATCCCACGAACGAGACATTGTGTTAAACGATGTTGACCCCATATTACATATGATTGAAACTCATGGACGAACATGGCGTGCAATATGCCTAGTACATATTTTTGTCAATTTTCATTAAAAATAAAATGCCTGGATTTAAGAAAAACTTCTTTCTAAAAATTTACGCATATGTTTGATTTATGTTTTGATTTTGATTGTATGTCCACTGCTATGATTTTTACTCTATTTTTTTTTCACTTGATATCATATGTTACTTTTTATACTTCTTTAACTCCATATCCATCAAGAAAAATATTTTGATCTGAATAGAATTGAAGAAACAAACTCTTACTCCAACAATCTGTAGGTTCTTGCTTTTCCGTTTTTCTTCAAAAGTAAATGACACTCGGACGGGATGCACATTGATTTACTTGCATGCGTGGTTATATGTTTTATCAGGAATTAATAACGATAGTTGTCAATCATGTTCTGTAGATTCGTGATAAGTTTTGGGAAACTCTCTGATCGAGTGTTTTGGTCACCTATCCCCTTGTTATCTTCTTATCTTAGATAGTGGGATGTTAACATCTTTTGTACAATAAAGGTAGATTTACAAGACACAGAGGATCGACATGTATGAGTTTTTGGAAATTGACCGGGCGTCGGGTCACCTATCACCTGTTATCTTATGTTGTTACGTGTTATTTACATTTGATTTTTGTAACAACTCACGGTAGATATAGTAAATACTAGTATATGAATGTAAAAAGAGGCAGAAAACAGGCACGCATCATGGGGAGAACAAAGAGATTTATACTTTTACTGTGGATATACCTAAAGAACATAGAGGTATAGACAAGATATGGCATATTCTTAAAGTACTAAAACGTGTGGGAAAAAAATTCATAAAAATGCGAATTTGATTAAGAAAAACGTTGTGTTAAAGTCATTTAGAAAAAGAAAGCATCTACAATTTGGACAATTTTTTTACAACTCTTTTGATTTACGTTTGAATAATTGATTTTCTAGAATTATGTGTATTAATACAAATTAAAGTCCAGACACTGAAAAGCAGATGAAAATAATCGAGATCTGTCCTTTTATATTTCTGTGAGAATTGAAAATAATTTTTTATTGGTTTATCCTTATGAAGTCTTTTTTATGCAACACAATTTGTGTGAAACACATGTCAAGCACAACATTTATTTATAATGAAAATTTAATGAAAATTACATTTATCAACATTACAGTACAAGATTTATTTTTATTCTTTTTTAAAGTTGATTAAACAATTTTTATTGTCATTATTTCGATAAAAGAAACAACAAATAACAAATAAAATCTACAAAAAGCACTATGTGCAAGGATAACATTATATCAATATTAATATTAAATGTGATGTGTAAAATTCTTTACATTATTTTATTTTACTATTGTGCCATAAAACTACACATGATTGCATAAATCGCCACATTGTATCAATAGATATTAATCCAACTGCATGTTGAAAAATGAAAACATTTGTATAATTTAGATCTTACACCTTACATCTCAGTGGGAAAAATGCACTATCACTATAATCAATACGATAAGAAACACCTTAGGTTAATTTTTTAATAGTATAAAAGTATTCTTTTAATAAAATTTCATGAATATTTTTATATTCATTATATAATTTTGTTTCATTGTAAATTCATTTGGATAAAGTATGAGTTACATGTCATACCAAGAAGCTTTTTTTTTTTCTTAAGCTTAGAATGATACTGACTCGATCTTACAGTTTGCTTTCGGAGACTATGAGGTGTCTGTGAAGCTACTGGAGTACAACAGAGACCCAGACAGGTGCTGTGATAAATTTTTATGGTCCTGTCGTGGCGAGTGTGATGTTTATTTCCAGATCTGTTTACAACCTTTATTACCAACACAAAAGTAAGACTCCCTCTCTTAATTTATCAGATTGAATTCGTTAGAGATTTAAAAAAAAAAAAAATTTAAATTATCTCAGTGATATTCTGAAATTTAAAGATTTTCGATACAATGTAATTGTCTGCCAGTAAAAATATTTTAATGAAAAATTACAAGGTTTTTAACTAATGTTAGATTTAGTTCAAATGATTCTCAGGGTTTTTTTCTACAGACAGATGTGCCAAGGGAAAGATGAAGACCAGCGAGTTGATGACACGCACAGGTTTTTATTTGCGAACGCTCTGAATAACGCTGATAACTACGCGTGGAGGAATATCAGGGGACAAGTAAATGCTTTTTGACTACATATATTGAAAGATCATAAATGATATTTAGCAGTCAAAAATATTATTTCTCATTTTACCCTCCTTGTTCATAGCCCTCATTTCAAATATCGGTGCACACCTATGACTACGATTCTCTCGATGGCAATGATGATCTTGGTGTGACAAGCTATGTGTACAGAGGAAATACAACTACAGGATTGATTGTCAAGACAACAACAGGAAAAAAACACTTATGGTGAGAAACAACGAAATGGATGAAATCTTTTTATTAAAAAATTAAGGGTTATCTACTCTGCATGGGTCAGTCTTTGAGTTTAACACATACTAGAAATTCTTTGTTTAATGAAGTAGCCTTGACTATACCATTTGATGATACATGTACACATCAGTTATATTATTTATCTGTTTACTGAGTGAAAAACCAAGTTACTTAAATTTGAAACCCATGGAAATTGGTACATCAGAAGTTACCATGTGATTTCCTTTTACGAAAATACTGTCCACCATTCCCCCCTTTCCATGTTTCCCATTATCATAACAGTTGATACACTTTATTCAGTCTTAGATCAATGATAAGATTAATTTGCATATCATGCAATGTAAAACACTGAATTATCCGAAATAAAATTGAATCTTTTAAATATTTAGTATGCTTGATAGATCAGTTTCCCATTATCTAGGATAAAACTACAACTGACAGTTTCATGCCCAGCAAATTATTTTGGTCCACGGTGTGATAAGAAAAGAACAACAACCACAACTCCGAAACCAACAACAACATCAAAACCAACAACAACAACAGCAACGGCTACTACACAAATATCAACAACAACAACCATTACACCAAAATCAACAACATCAAAACCAACAACAACATCAAAACCAACAACATCAAAACCAACAACAACATCAAAACCAACAACATCAAAACCAACAACATCAAAACCAACAACAACATCAAAACCAACAACAACATCAAAACCAACATCAAAACCAACAACAACATCAAAACCAACATCAAAACCAACAACAACATCAAAACCAACAACAACATCAAAACCAACATCAAAACCAACAACAACATCAAAACCAACAACAACATCAAAACCAACAACAACGACCATTGCACCAAAACCGACAGCAACGACTGCTATACAAAAATCGACAACAACAACCATTACACAAAAATCAACAACAGCCATTACACTAAAACCAAAAACAACGACTGCTAGGCATAAACCAACAACAACGACCATTACATCAAATTCAGCAAGAAGGACTACACCAACAACAACGATGACTACACCAAAATTAAAAACAACCAATACACCAGAACCAACAATATCGACTACTACACGAAAACCAGGAACGATTACTTCACCAAAACCAACAACAACGACTACTACACCAAAATCAACAATGATTCTACCAACAACAACTGCAGCAATAAAAACAACAACAACCATTTTACCAACAATAAGAACGACTACTACACCAACACCAAACCAAACGACAACTACCTTAATAACAACCACTACACCAATACTAACAACAACCACTTTATCAATAAGAACAATTACCCCAAAATCATTAACAACAACTGCACTAAAAAGAGGCACAACTATTTCACCAAACCCAACAAAAACTACTTCACCAAAACCAACCACAAACATTAAACCAAACCCAACGAAAATATCTACATCAACACTAAACCAAACAACAACTACACTAACGACGACAACTACAACAAAACCAACAACAACAACCATTACCCAAAATCCAACATTGACCACTGAACCAAAACTTACAACAACCACTACGCCAAAACCAACCACAACCATTACACCAAACAAAACAACTACTTCATCAAAACTAACAGCAATGACTACTTCACAAAAACCAACAAATACCACTTCACGAAAATCAACAGAAATGTCCACTTCAGCAAAAACAACGACTATTTCACCAAATCCAACAACAACAACACCAAAACCAACAACATCTACAACACCAAAATCAACAACAACGATTTCACCAACAACAACCATGACAAATACAACAATCACCACACCAAAATTAATTACAATCATTACACCACAACCAACAACTACTACACCAAAACTAAGAGCAACAGCTTCTACACCAAAACCAAAAACAACTGCAACTCCAAAATCAACAACGATTACACTATCAACAACAACAACTTCACCAAATTCAACATCGACCAGTGCACAAACAACAAACATTGTACCACCACCAACCACAACATCTAAATCAACAACGACAACGACCATAACATCAACTACAACCATAACACTAACAACAACCACTTCAACAACAATGACCAATACACAACCTACAAGTACGCCAAGTACACCAACACTATCTCAACCAACAACAATAACCACTAAACCAACATTTACTCAACCAACAATAGTGACAACTAAATCTAAATCAACAAAACCAACAACTACAACAGCTACACAAACATCAACTAAAGCTGCAAAAACGGCAACTTCACCAAAACAAACAAAATCAACCACCATAGCAACAACAACCATTACGCCAATAACAACAACCATACCAAAACCAACAAGAACTAGAAATGCATCAACGCCAACTAAGCTAACATCAATGACTTCTACACCAACATTTACAACAACGACTACTACACTAACAACGACGACAATTACACCACCACCAACTCAACCAAAAGTAACGACTTCTGCACCTAAAACAAAAGTACCAACTTCTTCACCAACACTTACAACAACGAATACATCAACAATAATGACCATTACACCAGCAACAACAGCCACTACGTCTTCAAAGATCATTACACAAATAATCAATGCATCAGCAACAGCAACAACCACTTCAAGAACATATACTACATTACCAAAAACCGTCACAAAACAAACAACATCAGCCATAACTATTTTACCAAAAATATCTGTATCAGCAAAATCAACCTCACCTTCACAACCAACAATTACACTGATGACAAACACATCATTAACAACAACCACTTTACCGAAAACATCACAAACCAGGACTGAATTATTTTATACACCTACTAGTATATCAACGACTACCAGACCAAAAACAATGACAACTCCATCAAGTACAGCGACCACACAAACGAAAAACACTATACCAACCACCACCACAATACAAGAGGCAACCAATGTAAATCCCCCTGGAGGAAGTAGAAAACAAACAATCCGGATACTTGGTCAAGTGTCAATGGACCAATTACAGCAACTCAAAAAGGAAATAATAAAGCATCTGCAGCAACTGAATCCTGATAAACAATCGTTACAGATTGAGTTTCAAGTTGAATTCATGTTCAGTACGAATAAGTAAGTAAAGAAGTATTTTTTATAAGAAATCAATTATGGTACTTTACAGAGTATTAATCAATATATGTCTTATTGAAAACAGGAACATCTCATGGGTTTGATTTTTCCTTTATCTAAAAAAAAAAAACAATACATTAACGTTCCATTTCTTCAGAAAATAAATACAACAAAATATATGTTTCTTTACTTAATACTTTTTGTTACCTTTTTCAGTGACCCAGTAACGGAGATTCTATACAACTACAACTGTTTACAATGTGACCTCGAGGATGATCAGTTTAAGAATGGTGTCCAGTCAGCTCTTCAGACAATGAAGCTTAAACAATACAACGGGGAGGTCAATCCCAAGAAGATAGTTCTGAATAAGAACAAGGTATAGTAAACCTTTATTTTGATTATAAATATTAAAGTTATAAAATACTGCATATGAGAATTTATCAGGAAGTCAACCCTAAAAAAGCACAATGTGTTGTAAACTTTTTTATAAGTCATATTTTTAATTATGAAGTATATAAATGATAAATTGTAACAATGAGGATTCCTTAACAACAAACGATATTTATTTAAAGTTACATCTTATTCTTTTGTAGTTTTAGAAGATTTACTATGTTCGTGTATTTGTGATTGTAAAAATTTGATTTCAAGAAAGAAAACAATTTAACATTTGTAAATCCACTGCTTATTGATTTGATTAATACATCTCCAAACACAATTACTGATGATGATTTTCTGAACTGTTTGTGGTAAAAACAAATCTCTGGCATTAAAATAATTTTCTCTTTAAAGGTTTAAGGTTTCCTTAACTAACAGAATGAAAGAGAGCGAAAATTGTTTTTATAACTTACCATTATATTAAATAATCAAGAGGCGCCATCTACATATTGTGAATTCAAGAGTTATGCTTCGCTCTGATATTGTAGAGTAACACTGGACTGGTTGCTGGGGTTGTTGTATCTGTTGTGTTGCTATTAATTATCGTCACAATCACAGTTACGTATAGAAGGTCAGTTTTTCATTTTTATTTTTTAAAATTACTCATGTATGATTATACTCATTAGTCACATACTGTATAATCATTTTATAGGGATCTTTGGTACATCAGGCATCATTGCTAGTGGTAGTAATTCACGGAGACACCGCCAAAATATGATCAATTTTATACTGTCGTTCATAATTTTTAAATCTGAAGTTGAAAACAACTACACTGATTTGTCATCAGTAAGATTATGAATAAGATTCAACTTCAGTTTGAAAATAATAAATTACAATGCACATACATGCTGAAAGCGCTAAAACATGTTTGCGCGAAATAGGATGTTGCCTACGAAAGCGTAAAATTATTAATATGGTAAATTATGTGGATGAAGAAATTTGTAGCAATTTGTTACGTATCAAATACAAACAATATTTTAAAAAACGTTCTCTGTGATAATTATAGGAAAAAGCAACAGAGATCCAGACGCAAGGAGAAGGAGTTGCACATGAACGGACATACTAACATGGCGTTAAATATACAAGATACAGAAGACGTTGCAACCTTTAAAATACCTACATCTGACACCAGTGACTTATGACCTTAAATTGAAATGATGTCAACAGGAGGCTAAGTCAGCGACGACCGAGGCACCATTAGGTCCGTCACAAAATGACTGCAGGGAATTAATATCGTGAACATATATGTGTGGCAAGTTTAATTATCGTGGTGGCATTTTTACCAGGCAGCATTGAAAAATTGTCTCATTGATATTGAAGTGCCATGTCTTTTTTGTATTGAACATACTCTATGGATTGTTTTACGATATTTTTTATGCCATGAAATATTTTATCACAAATTAATGGAGTAATGAAATGCTCCAATTCCAATATTATCGTGCCAATACCTTGTGTTATTTCATATACGATGTACAATATTCCTTCACTTGATTAATAATGATGACAAAATCGATTCAAGACACATTGTTGATCCTGAAATAACTTCTTACTTTTGAAAGGAAAAAACATAACAACATAGCATATTCGTGTATCTTTTGTGAGGCCTGTATGAACATTTCTGTGTGTGTTTGATACAGACAATAGTATCAACATGTTTATTATTTACTAATTTTTTTTCTGTAAATATTTGTTACTTATCAGTAGCACTGTTAAACAGTAAAATTGTTGAAAAAAGATCAAGAAATGTTGGAGAATAACTTGACAGAGATTTTATACATAATTAAATCATGCAATTGTGTTAATTATTAGTTAGGTTTTGTTGTGGTTCAATGTATAGAGTTATTTTAATTTCATATACATTTGTATCACTTGTTCAACAATTTAATTCAAAAATATGTAAATTAGCCCGACTTTTAATAGGGTCAATATATGATAGGGGAAGTTAGGGGTGTATAAGATACGCACTGAACCAAACAAAATTGGAAAATTTTTATACGAGGAGAGAGAGAATTTTTGCCATATTTTGGCGTTGAAAATAATTTTATCCAACCAGTTATTTATTCTATCCTTAAATTGCTCTCACAAAACGATTGTTGGATATGAATAAGGACAGCAACAACATGGAAGACTTTTCTATAATATATTTTATCGAGCATAATTTCACCATGTCCTTACGCAAAACAGTATTATATCATGAAAAGGAAGTGTGTTTATTGAAATATATATCAAGTGCTAAATTACTTTTATATTGTATTGCCGTCATTTCATTAAAAAATATTGAGGAATTCTACTCTTATTTTTTATGCTTAAATGTTCACTCACATTGTTTAATTGATAGGACATAAAAATAATGGAAAACAAATAAACGCGAATAAGAGATAAACCTGTGATGTAAATATAAACTTTCGGATATTCTCAATAAGCTACATCAAAGTTGATTTAAGTAATTTCTCAATCAACACAACACCACAACCATTGACTTAAATATTTGACTACAGTAATAAGGGATAATTATTCATTTTGCAGAAACATACAGTAAGGGCGAACTGTTCATTTTTTTTCATTATTAACCATGATAACAGAGATAAATGGTTCTTGGAGAATATCAATTTTAACTCGGTTGTATTGCTGAAGTAAATGCAGATTGCATATATTACGGTTAAACAAATAGTCATACATAAACCGTACCAGTGAGACTGATCGGCCACCGATCCCTTGTAATCAGCTGATACGATATGACCTGATGTTGTTTGAATTTTGTAACATCTCAGGTTATACTTGTAGATGTAAATGGGTGCATAATACAATTGCGCATCTTTGAATTTTGGATTGCTTGAATGTACAGGCGAACATCATTGTAAATAACGCTGTAAGATTTACTGAAGATATAAAAGGACAATTTTAATCGGCATTCTTTGTGGATTGCTTGGCATTTGTCTTTTATCTCTTTTATGATTACCCATATTTTTTCCCGATAAATTTCATTAAGGTTGACTTCAAAATTTTGTCTGATAATCGCCCTTTCCTTTTTTCTCTTAATTTCCCTCAGAGTTTATGATATAACGGTGAAAACAAAGAAAGGTGATTGATCATCTCATCAATCCAATAAGCAGTATGAATCGTTAAAAGGGCAAAACACGAACCCCTGTAAAAACCAGAGGTATGATCAGGTGCCTTGGGGGAGTAAGAATCCCTTCTCGACCGGTCAAAAAAGCTGTAAACCTTCTGTTTTAATCAGGTAAACGGAGTAATCAAAAGTAGTGTAAACGATTACCTTATAATGTTTGAAACATGTCATTTAAAAAACGATCCAATGTTGTATTTACAAACTAGGTGATTTTATCGACCATTGTGGCAACGCACTTTGAAAAAATTACGCCCTTTGAAGTTTTTTCAAAGTGCGTTAAATTTGGGACAAAAATCAATGCACTTTGAAAATGTTTTTCAAAGCGCATTGAGAGTGTAAATCGGTATTTTTTTTCCATGGAGACACTTAACGCGCTTTGAAAAAGTAAGTATAAAACAAAAATTCTTGACTTAGTTTTTAGTAATAGACAGTATTATTTTGTTATATTTCTTTCGAAAAACTGATGAATTGATCTACCATCAACGGAAAGGAGGAGAAGACAGGTAGGAGGTCCCTCAGCCAACTCTTTATCTTTCCCACCCAAATATATGTATTTACATAACTGGTATGACCTTGATATGCTGTTTGACATGTCTAGCCTTTTTATAATACCAAATTAAAGATTTAGAAGTAATCTGAGTAATACCTAAAATTTGCAAGAAAACTGACCAAGCAGTGCATATTTTTTTTCGTACTTTGAAGATTTTTTTTCAAAGTGCGTCCCAAATTTAACGCACTTTGAAAAAAAATTCAAAATGCTTAATTTTTCAAAGTGCGCTGTAACAGACTATAGAATTTGCGAAATGCTTACTTGGAAGCTCTGTATATGATAATTTGTCTGTATACTAACTCGATTTAAAGATTTATTGTACTCAGAACTTGCTCGAGGGAACTGAATCGGGTGAGAGACTTAACACCATATGCAGGTGATATTGGAATATTACCGCATAAATATGGGAGGTTTATGATGGAAAAGCTAAAGTCATCATCTCCATCATAAAGTTTATTTTTTAGTTGGCTATTAACGTATTTACTCAGAAAAGCATTTAAATATAAAACAGGTTTGGCAGACTCTGCGGTGTCTGTATTTCGAGTTTACTGGCATAAATATCGAGTCAGCATGTGAACGAAAATAACTTTTGTTAATTGATGCATTGTTGTCGATATATTAAATGTTCAATGAAGACCCCAGCAAGAGTTCTCTTTTCTTCTCATTTAGAGGGTCTATAATAAATTCAGAAGAATTTAAAAATAGGCCGGCTAACAAAGAAGAACAATTTGTGTCCGGTCTCAAAGATAGTAATTGTCAATGAGAAACTCACTTGTGTGCTGGATAAGAAAGATTTTTCAACAAAGTAATTTTGCAAATGATAAATCATAAGATTTGAAAATTTCTTAGTTCCATTTTTATTAAAGAGACAGCTGTCTGATAGTGTGTAAGTTGGTTTAATATTGATCCTTACAAATACAATGTTGTTACAAGATTTGTCAGCTGTAATCTTAACATATTTGAATTTATTCATTGTTATAAGTTTCTATACAAAAGTCTGTCTCATTGATTGTTGAATATTCCATTTGGTGACCTCTGACCATTAACAGAGATTATATCTGTACGTACAGATCATAATGGAAACAACCATCTCTGTGCATTTTGGACAGAAAATGATTGATGCAGAATTCTCCACAGACTTCACGGAATCATTTGATCCCATATATTTTATTGAATATTTCATGTTTCTATTTAAATCACATGCTTTATTATTTTTATATTGTAAAATTTTTGAAAGTATCTCATAACAATGAACATACCATATTTTCACTCTATGTAATAATTAAATTTATTTATCATCCCTCCGTGTCTTTCAATATGGTGGGCACTAGTGAACATGTGTATGACAGTAAAAAACTTTCTCTTCTCCTTCACCTCCCCTTCACATTACATAAATATAATTCTAAATCAATATTTATTAAGCTGATTTGTTCAATAGTAGTATTTAAGCCGTGCCCTTTGCCACAGTCATCCTTAAGACAACAGAAGATAACTTATCTGATCACAGAACAAATTATAAAAGCAAATATTTAATAAACGGCAATGTCCGTGTGAAGAAAAAACCCCGCTTAGCAAAATCATAAAGAGCTATATATATAAATGTTATGGTCACTTAAGAAATATGTTCCGATAGCCCCAATGACTTTTTGACATAGCTTTTAATTTGATTGAAACCCATTCAAAAAAAGTACAAGTGTCAAAATGGTCAATGCATCCTGACCTCATTAACGATCTTTATCTGTATATGTCCGGCATCTTTCAATGTTAAACTATTCCTTATCCCATATTATCAGTGGCCTGATGTCCAAATGTCTGGATGTCTCTACATCCTTTAATAGTGTCGCAAAAAGGGTGATGGCAAACAGGTGTAATTTATGTGAAAGTTTGAAGGGTTAACGGAAACACCATGAAAGGATGTACCTTTTATATTGTAGTGCTGTTGAATTACCTAAGAAATATACAGGTATATAAACAATCTATTGTGCATACATTAATCTGCTTAAACCCCTAAAACTGATTGAAATTTGAAGCAGACAATTGCGAAGAACGCGTTTAAATATTTTTCCCCGTTTCCGTTTTTTTTTTCTTTCTCTAGAACCATTTTATCAAAGTTTTACATGTACTGTAATTCTCTTTGAGAAAACGTCTACCATATGGTATTCAGTATGTTTTACTAGACATGTACAGTAATGATTGTATTTAGGAATAATTTTTTTCCTATACACAGCATTAAATCCCTTAACTTGTAGTTTTTCTTAATTTTCAATGTCTGTCTGTGTTTTTGAAGCAAAATTTTTTCACCCAGATACATTTATTTGTCTCACCAAAGTATCTGTGCCAACAATATATCACGTCGTATTTTGAAACATTTTCTACTTCCTCACAAGAACTACTCGACAATGGCAAACTTGTCTCAAATCGTAGAATAGTAAGGTAGGTTAAATTGCATCAAATGCAGGACTACACTCCTTTACAAAAAGAGAGAGATAGGGGAGAGAGTCATTGAAAAGATAATGTCTAAATATCTGCCAAATACCTCATTGATATCTCAATTCACAAAAAAAGTTATGCCCAAAAAATTATGCTAAAATATCAGGAGTGCAACACCTTTATGTGACATTTTGAAAATTCAATATTTTTTGAAGATCTGTGAAATAAATGATCATGGTTTATGCTGGAAATAAAGACTTCCCTGATAATATTTAAAGCATTGAGCTTTAAATATAGACTGTAGCAACTTTTGTTTGACCAAGTTGTGGTCATGGCTGTTGTTGAAAAAAATGTTATACCATGTCAGGAGTGTAATAGAAAAATGTAGTGTTTTCAAAAAAACATCGATCTTAAAAATCTGAGAGACAATTCATAACTGATATGCAAAACTTTAAAATGTTATATAAATCACAAGCATCGTTAATGAGAGTCAAGGATCTGTGCATACCCAATAATGTCAGGAGTGCAACTTTTGATTTTTTGCTCCCCAGCATGAAAAAAAATTTTATCAGTATATGATTCTCTGATTTTTATTTTGGAAAATAAAGACACAAAGAATATTTTTATCAAATAGATTTATCAATAAGAGGGTCTGTCTGTGTTTCAGATCTAAATTTTTATGGTCAGGAGTGCAACACATTTTTTTAAAGATTCAAGTTATATGATGAGACTTTTATTCATGCTAAGAATTTTTTTTAATTAATAATGATCTATTATAATAATAATTTAGTGCTAAATTATTGAGAGTTTAATTATTAAAATCCTTCTCTTTTTCAATTTTATCAATTCAGATGTGTTTTTATCTTTTCTTTGATTTTTTATGAATGTAAAAAATAAAGACACTGAAAAATTGTTATAAAATTCAAGTAATTCCACCTCAACTTCACTGACACAACGGAACAAGTTCTGATATAATTTTCACTTCACAATTCTACTTTAAAGACTCCCATGCTTTTGGTCAGAAGTGCAACAAATATGTTTGAATTATTGGTGATGAATAAATACAAAGACAAAATTGATGAGTAGAATGTTTCTTGTTGACCTCAGTTGCTTACAGTGTTTGTCCCCTGAAGGAAAATATACTATAAAATATATTTTATCTTCACTTAGCTGGTTTTTTGACATAAATAGGGAATAATTCAGGATATAAAGACAAGTTTAAATACTTTCACGTGTTTAATTATGAAGTGTTGCACAATTTCGTTACCACTTGATGTTGCCAACACTATGAATTCTAGTGTTCTGTGGTTTTATTTTTACTGTAGTCAGGAGTGCAACAAAGCTGTTTTATGATTATTAATGATCTTCATCTATTTTAACGTTTACTAAAAATTAAATTAAAAAAAATGTTTGATACTATTTGATGTTCAAAACATTATGTCTATAAACTAATTACAGACATTTTACAGTCAAGTTTACAGTTAAGAGAATAGTTTTCTTCACTTAACACATATTTAAATATGTTGTATATGTATTACACATTACAAATAATCATATTTTGAAGCCCTCAAAATATGAAAAAAAAACTTGCCGTATATGATAAAAAATATCAAAACGATGAACTGATTTACAAATTAAGAATAGGTTATTTTGAGTTTTAATTTTTAAAACAATGTTAAATGAAATACATATCAGGTGTCAGGAGTGCAACACAATAATGTAAAAATAGGGTCACTTTAAAATCTAGTATTTTGTAAGAAAGCTTGTATGTCAAAAAAAAAATTTGGCTTAGATTTAAAGAATTAACTTTAATGGACAAAAAATGATTTGGGGGAATTTTGCTGTTTCATATTTCTTTCACATTAAAACTTTTCGACCCAGAATTGAAAAAATATTGTAAAATAACAATCAAAAAGCCTTTTCTTTCACATATACAAGAGAAGAAACTCAAGGTTTAGTTCTAATCATTTATATCCCTGATGCCATTTTGAAGCATATAAAAACTATAATTTCTTTTGATTATGTATTTTAGACAGTCTCTTAGGATGTAGTGATATTTTCTTTTTCAAATAAAGTTTAACTATAAAAATTCTTTGTTTTATTGTTTGTCTGTTATTTGTTTTATTCAATTGTCTTTTTCTATTGCAACATCAGGAATTTTTACTAGAATGCATGTACAATTCGATGATATACTTGAAAAATATGTTATAGTTAATTGGATTTTTTTTCAAAAAATTTCCATTTGGTGGTCATTATTTTTTGAGTTCACCCTTATTCAGTAATGATATTATTCATTATATAAAATATGTTGCACAGAACTAGGGAAAAGACAAGAATATTATTTACCCATGAATACGTTATCTATAGTAAAAATGACTTCACATCCAAAGATAGTAATCCATCAAAAGGTCTTGGGAACCGATTCGAAGTTAATATTTTCTAAAATTTTCAGTATATCATGATTTATGATGTTGCTAGAGCATTTTACACCAAAATAATATAAAGGCGTGTTTAGAAACTTTTTACCTGGAAATTATCAAATATACAAATTTAGGGACTCGTTTGATTGGCACACATCCTTGCACTTTCACTAAGTAATCTTATCCCTAATATCTAAGAAAAAATTATAGTATATTAATGAAAAATATTAATACTTTAATACAGAAAATTCAGAGTAGAAAGAAAGCAAAACCAATTCACCAGTATTGTCAGTCCGTTCTAAGTGAAGTGTGCAGAGTGAACAATGCAAATTGAACAACCCCGGTGGAACGTAAAATTAACAATAACAGAGCTAAGTTTACAAACACAGATGTTTGACGTAATGTTATGAAGAATTTTTTTGTCATTGATTCCTAAGAATTCTTGTAAGTTCAATTCAATAAAACTGAAGTTATTTTTTTTTAATTAATATAAAAATCTTAAATTGTAAACAAAACAGCAATGCAACTGTGCCCAGGCTCCTTTAATGATAAAGAGCAGCTTTGATATTTGCAGTGAATTTGCTAAAAAGAAAAAAAACACTATTACTTTTAGAAATTTTTAATTAACTCATATTTATTTATTTATTTTACTAACATAATATATTTATTTCACCACAAAAAAGTATGAAAGAGACAAAAGTCAACATCCCAAAGTTGCTATTAAAATTTGATGAATTTATGGCAAGGAATGAATTTACTAATTTAAATCAATCTCATATGCCCTTAAATGGTACAAACAGTGCATTTTTTAACAATTCAAAGAAATATATTAAAGATAAAGGCTCAAACTGCTATAGATTATATTTATTTATCGAAGCGGCTTTCAAGGAATTGGGAATACACAAATGACCTTATGATGTAATAAACTTTTTACCAAGTCCACCCGTCTAAATGATTATCATAGTGTCAAACGGTTGTCAAAAAAAAAAAAAAAAATAAATAAATAAATAAATAAAATTATTAATCGGCTGATGGAATACACCAATGCTTTCTTGTCCTCACAGTTGGTAGTTGGCGACTATGACGTGTCGGTGAAGCTACTAGAGTACAATAGAGACTCGGACCATTGCTGTGATGGTTTTTTAGGGTTTGGCTGCAGCGAGTGTGATGTTTTCTTCCAAATATGTCTGCATCCTTTGCAGGGGTAAACTCTCTCTCTCTCTCTCTCTCTCTCTCTCTCTCTCTCTCGTAAGAAAATCTCAAAGAAATACACATACGTTATAATTTTGGCAAAGATTGATGAACGTATTTATGCATTATCCCTTTCTTATTTTGAAGGATTGAGTCCTGATGATTAAATAGATTCTTAACTGTATTTATTCCATGTGGTAATTTTTTCATCTTTAGACTTCAGATTCTGAACTGCAAAGGAAAAAATACAGATCAGCGAGCTGATGACAAAAATCATTTTTTATTCCCCGATATTCCTGCATTGAGAGACCATGCTGTTTACACCTGGAAGAACATCACGAGTCAAGTAAATGCTCCACATTTATTAACAATATTGTTTAACAGTCAGTGATGTATTTTGTTTAACAAATAATGTTTATTTATTTTTTATCATTCTACTATAGCCTAATTTCCAAATATCAATAAACGTCTTTGAATATGACTCGAGAAGTTACTATAATGATATTGGAGTGACAAACTACACCTACAATGGAAATAATGCTACAGTACAAACTATCACAACGAATCCTGGAAAGAAAAACGTACGGTAAGCTGCAATGAATAAATTTTCCCATGACATATGTTAACTAAATATTTTCTTTTCCACTTTCAATGGTCTTTTAAGCTTGTTTACTATTCGTTATCGTCATATAATTTAATATCGCCATACATTTAAGACCATGTCATATCTTCCAGCTAACACATATTGTTTATAAATGATGATAAATATGGACATTTTTCATTTATTTTCTTAAATGCTGCTTTCCCGGAGACTTTTTTATATAGTCCCCCCCTTTTTTTCCTTCTCTAATATTCCATCCTAATTTGGTATGTAGCATTTATAGTGAAATATGGAGATAACGAACATTGTTCAAGCTCAAAAGTCCATTCAAACAATACAAATCAGGAGCAGAGCAAACACGGACCTCTAAGACATCAGCGGTGGGATCAGGTGACAATTCAGAGTGAAAATAATGGCCAACAATTACTATGAAAAACGTTAGTCAGCATTTGACTTAATGTTAGATTGTATTTGATGACAAGGTCATTGTATCGACCAGAGGAGACACCCCAACAAATGTTATTGTGATCTAAATTCATGACACGTGGTCTTGGTTGACCCATTCAAAAGTTATAGAACAGAACCGTTTTTATAAATAAAATTCGCTGTAAATAGGACATGTCTATAGTCTGTTTGCTTGAATTAAAAATACAATGCCCAGGAAGCCTGTTTCAGTATATATATTTTTTCTAAAATTCAGGATAAAACTACAATTTACGGTGTCGTGTTCGCTACATTTTCTGGGTCCACAATGTGATCAGAAAAACACTATAGCCATGAATTCAACGACTTCAACAGCATTGACAGACACACCATCAAAACCTTCTTCATTTGCAATGACTACTTTAATTAAAACCACTGCACTATCCAAATCAACATCTGCCAAACCAACAACAACACGACCTAAAATATCTATTTCATCATCAACAAAAACAATACTATCGAATACAACAACCTTTAAAGTGACATCAATACCAACACCAGTAATTACAATCAAAGCAAAGACCACATCAACAAAAGTTACTAAACTAACTGCAACCATACCGACAACAATCAACAAACATATAGGTCCGTCAACAACAATTGCAATACCAACAACCAATAAATCAATAGTGACAACAAAAAGACAACAAACAAAAACAACAAAATCAACTACTTCCATGTCAACAACCATCATACCACCAACGACCAGACCAACAACAACAGCTACAAAACACAAAAACACCACACTGACAGCAATCGCACCAACTACGACCGCAGCTCCGTCAAAATCAACCACAACGAAAACAGACTATAAACCAACAACCACGACTATAATCACTAATACACCATCAACAATCACTGAACGAAAAGCCACAATAACAACCCATATCCAAATAACAACATCTACACCAAAAACAATCACAAACTCATCTAGAATAGACACAATTTCAACATCGACTAGCCAAGAAAAAAGGTCAATAAATCCTAAAGCGACAACTAATAAACCAAAAACTGCAAACACAACAACTACAATAAGAACAGCTTTACCAACAACAACGAGTAAACCAAGAATTACAATTGCTCATCAAACAACAACGAAACCAACAACAATAACTACCCCAACAACAAAATCAACAACAATCACAACACAAACATACACTTCCCCATCAGTAACAACAACACCATTAGCAACCACATCATCAATAACTACACCAACATTCAGTAAACCATCATCCATTGCAACACTAACCATACAACCAACAATAATCGTAGAATCAACGGTAGCCACCATGCTACCACCAGTAACAAAGCCAACATCACCAACATCAACCACATCATCAGCAACTACTACACTTAAAGCAACACCAAAAACAGCAAGAACATCGACAACATCTTCTTCATCAACAAACACAACACAAACAACGACACCGACGACATACACACAACCCATAACAACTGCACATTCAACAGCAGCCACCATTCTTCAGAAAATAACAACGACAAAAACAACTCCAACAAAAGCCAATTCACTAACAACATATGAATCAACAATAACACCTATAACAACCAGACAACTAGCAACAACAGTACAGCCCTCAGCAACCACCATTCCATCACCAATAACAACTACTGCAACAAAAATTTCTACACCCACAACTACTACACCAACGAAAACAAAGTCAAAAGCAACGCCCACTACACAAATTACAACAATCACTTCACCTTCGCCAACAAGCACTACCTCTGCAACCACAATACAACTAACAACAAAAGTTACAAAATCAACCACTCCTTCAACAGTATCAACAACTAACAATGTACCAACATCTACTTCAAGGAAAACAACAATTATGCAAAAAACCTCAACAAGACCAAAGTCTTCGATTTTAACACCAAAGAAAACAAAAAATTTATCAGTATTAGCGACTGCAACATTAGCGACTCCATCAAAAGCTATTGTAACTTCAACAAAACTTATCAAATCCCCAAACACTCTAACCCCTTTATTAAGTACTACGGCACAAATAAGAAATTCCATGTTTTCGAAATCAGTAACAGTAACTAAACAATTAGTATCATCAACAAATGTAAATAAAACTCCCAAACAAGCAAAGAAAAGCACAACGCCTTTAACAACAACTACAAGAACAATTTCGTCAACTCCGACAACAATGACTGTGACAAGTGAAATATTAACAGTTCCCAAAGAGAAAATTACACCACACAGCACTGGAGATCAAAAGCAAACTATAAGGATATTTGGCAAAGTGTCAAAGGAACAACTTCTACAACTGAAAGACAAAATACAAATATATTTGAAACAACTTGATCAAAGAGACATTTCATCTTTGCATATAGCATTTAGAGCTGAACTGGTGTTTAGTGAAAACAAGTGAGTCAGAAATATAAATGCAAAAACATTATTTCACTACAGCATTTAATGAAGTTTAATATAGTTATGATTCAGTCCATCCGTGGAAAACTAATACTTTATTGAACTTTGAGTAAAAGAAGCAAGTAGATATTCTATATTATTCTGTTTAACTTCTTCAGTGACCCAGTGACGGAAGTACTGTATACGTACAACTGCCTACATTGCGACCTTCAGGAAGAACAGTTCAAGGACGGTATTCGATCAGCTCTTCAGACATTAAAGCTAAAACAATATCAGGGGGAGGTCAATCCAAAGAAGAAAATCCTGAATAACAAGGTTTGACATAAAGCTTCGTTCTGATCTGCATTATTCTTTTGTAAACACAGCGATTTCCTGATGCAAGTTTCCCTTTGTTTATAGTAGCATTTATTCTTATGTAAAAAAAAAAAAAAAAAAAAAAAAAAAAAACAGCTATCGTCATTTTAATTCTTTTTCAACTAAGAACCTTTCTATTACGAAAAGATGAAGAAAACAAAATTCAAAACACTGACATTTTATTAAAATTAGCGTCGATTTATGAACTCTGAAGCAATATTACTTTTTTTCTTTCTTTCTACCTTATTTATGATTTATCACTGTTAATACCAATTATATTTGTAGAGTCACACCGGCCTGGTTGCTGGAGTTGCTGTATCGGTAGTGTTGCTTTTAATCATCGTCATAGGAATCATAGTCATGTATAGAAGGCAAGTTTTTTTTTTACCTTTGTTCTTCACATGTAGCTATGCATAGTGTTCAAAAGACCTGAATTAAAAGGCCATCACACTCAGATTCCTTTATTATTTAAACCAAAGCTTGTCATAATGACAATGTAGGTGTAGAAAACATTGTGTTTTTATAACTTTGCGATATACGTTTTGTTCAACAACATTTTTTAAAAATGTATTCAAACGTATAATCGATATATCCCTGTGACCTTTAAATAAGACACTACAAAGTCTGCCACTTAAGTTTTATAATTGTTTATTATACTAACTGTAGACGCCAATGGCCGACTAACAACCATACTATATGAAGAAGAAAAATGGCTTCATTTTGTCCATCGTCAACTTCCCCTATTTATGTAGTAATACTCCACTATCACTTGCATAAAGTATGTCTCCCAAATGATTTCGTATGTAAGAACATGCTCTGAGTATGATCACCTTTTAAACCGAGGCAGTGTACCAACAAATAAGTTGATATTACGAGGCTTTCAACATTTGAAAGTAAGCTCTTCACAAATTCTATGGCCCTTTTAATGACTGTCTGCAACTACAGCGTATGGTTGGGTCGTACTTTGACTGAAATGTTTCCCGTCATTTATTAGGTCATTGTTTTATACAAATTGTGACTTCTGATTACTACTTTTACCTCACAGCGGGTGTGACCGGTCGTCAGGGGATTGGTCACTGTTTGATTTCTTCATCTTTTCTAATATTTTGAGTTTCAGGTTATAGTAAGTATAGAAAATATGAAATAATTAAATTTAAAAAAAATCAATATATGTTTTATTTTGTGGATTATATGGCTATTCTTCATCATAAATTTACAATTTCAATGAATATGGAATACGTTCATCTTAGAAATTCAAGAAAATGACCTCCTATAAATTACTTAAAGTGTACAGTAGTGGGAGTCTGGTAGGTAACTGAAATCGAAATTGTATATGATATCTGGTTCAGGGCATATATTTTCAACTCAAATCAAAGACACTTTGTATTATTTAAACAGGAAGAAGCAACAAAGGTCCAGAACCAAGAATCAAGATTTACAAATGAATGGACACAGTAACACGACGTTAGATATTAATGATACAGAAGACATTGCAACCTTCAAGAAAGCCACGTCAGAAACAAATGACCTCTGATCTTAAGTTTAACATGAACACATGAAATAAAGTTCAGTGAAAATCAAATCGAGGCGCCTTCAGATCCAGCCCAGAATGACAGCAGAGACTTAACAGCTTTCACAAACTTGTTTATTCCCGCTTTGTTTACCATTGCAATGTTGTGTTTTATTGAGTAATACTCTTTATATTCTTATACTCAGATACAAGTATAATCAAGTTCAGTATTTCCGATATGCGTCATATTACAGTTTGATGATGTAGTTAAAATATTTTAAACTAGAAAATATCAGTTTACTATTCCCTGTAAGTTGTCAATTACCAGGTATATAATTTCCTTGTGAAATATATTTTTCATACTAATTGTTAGGCCATTATTTATACATTGAACTGTCTACGGATTTTTCCGGGTTTTTTCGATCATGACAAGGAGTACACTGCGGTTGTGACTGGTCGGCAGGGGATGATCACTCTTCCATGGCACCTGATCCCACCTCTAAATTTTGAGGTCCGTGTTTGCTCTGCTCCAAATATGTATCGTTTCATTGGACTTTCGAGATTGAATACTGTTCGTTATCTTCATATTTCATGAGTTCAAATACGGTAATTTCTGTATTTTTGAATAATCTAGATTTCTTAATACAAAATAAGTATTCTGTGTCATTAAATGACATTTATAATATCTATATATATGCAGTAATGTGATTTCCTTTAAGAATTATCACTAGCAACCTATTTCTTAGAATGTAGGAGAGCTAGCCTTTTACGTAGAAATAGCAGTGTTTGCATTTTTTAATAATTGAGGTCCTCGTAAAACATCTAGCCTTTATGCATATGATTATTAGTTTAATAGGTCAGCACAAAGTCTGCATCAGATGTGTTTTGTATGAATGATTATTTTTCACATAATTTGTCTATTTTTTAAAAAAAATTTATGCCTCCTTTTTTCACCAAGTCAATTAATAATGTTACATGTAAACAATAAATTCATAAAAATCCTTACAAACAAGATACACTGTCGGCTATAGCAAAGCAAGCCCCTATCTTTACTCCTCACAAAAATATTAACTGCTGTGAAGGAGAAAATTCAGACAGACTGTGCTTGCATATTCTAGAAGTGGTGTAAATCAAATGTGGATTGTCAAAAATTCTACAGATCTTTTAGAAAATTTAAAATCATTAAATATTTCAGAAGTCAGTAACATCAAAACGTATTACTTTTCTACACATTATACAATCATCCCTCGCGGTAATTATAAACTATACAAATGCTTCTTCAAAAATGGAACACGGAAGTTGATATTAAAAGGATGCTGGAGTTCCTCACTGGCAACATCTAACTGTTGAAACTCCTCCTTTATTAACGGACCTGTTTTTATGTTCCTATTATGCAAAATTTATCAAAAACTTTTACAGGAGAAGAAGAAAAATATTTGTTGTTGCCTTCATCTCGACATTGAGATATATCGACGACGTTTTATCAGTTAACAATAGTTACTTCCATCCACATGTCGACTCGATATATCCCAGTGATCTCGAAATAAGACATCTCAGAGTATGCCACGTGTTTCATACTTGGATGTTTTACTCTCTATAGATGATAACAGCCAACTAACTTGTATGACAAATGAGATGACTTCAGCTTTTCCATCGTCAACTTTATTTATATAGTAATATTCCGCTATCACCTGCATATGGTGATTACGTCTCCCAACGTATTCCATACTCAAGATTTAAACAGGCATGCTACTGACAGAGAAGTCAGTGGGTCTTAATTTGACTGACATATTTCATACCAATTGTAAGGCCTTTGTTTTTACATTAATTCTGACTACAGAATATTCCATCTACGTGATCAGTACATAGGGCTTAAAAATTAAATTTAAAAAATTAAAAAATAAGGACTACAATTTGCATGATTGCTGTATACAGAAACGCTTTAATATGAGGATTACAGCTTGTTTAAACTTCTACCTCAGTGAAAACGTATCTTAATAATTGGGAATTTTTAGCAATGCAGTGGTAATATATACTTTCTATCATCCTTTAGTATATGTACCATTTCCTATTGCTGTCAGTTTTCGTCCGTAGTTGTGCGTCGTTCGTTAACATTTGAACATTTTCAGCGTCTTCTCTGGAACCGCTGAACCAATTTCGACCAATTTTGGGCATACGGTATCTATGTGTGAAGAGGAACATGCCAACCCCCCTACCCTCCACCCCACGGGCCTGAGGGATAGGTCGAAAACTATCAAAATTAATGCAATCTTTAAAAAATCTTCTTCTTGACTCCTGGACATCATAGAAAATCTTCTCTTCTCTTGGTTACCCAGGAGGCAAACATATTACAATGTTGTAATGAGCAAGGCTGTTTTTACCGGATTTGTAAAATTTTGGACCTCTGGGTCGTGTTCCGGTGCCGGGTAGAGCTCAATTGATATTGTAGGGAAATTTGTACTCTACTGAGAAAAGTTATTCCCCTTTGCTATTCAGCTGTGATAATTAATACCTTCAAATAATTAATTAATAGGTCAAATGGAATAAAAGAAATTATTTAGTATATAACAAAAAAAAGTACATTCGAAACTTTTTTTAGGTCAGGTAGACTTGTCAATAATAAATAAATAAAACAGAGACAAAAAGACCTACATTATATATTCTTTAAAGAACAAGGGAGGCTACTGTGTGAGGGATTGCTAAGGGTTCACTTCACATTCCTAAGCTACTGTATTGTTTAGTTTGCATAACAATAGTAAACAAATGGGAGTGTATTGAAATAAATCTACTTTCTGATCTATTTCTGACTACTAGGCTAACTATTTTGTTGATCCCTGATCATCGTTTTTCTCTTGATTTGGGGCAACATATCTTCACCTCTCAGTTTATTTTATTTCATACTTCAGTGGATCCTTTACAGTGTTGTATTATACTTAGGTAACTGGCCCTTGTGCCTCTTGTTTGGATGGTAGATGTTAAGAATCTTCAGTATGTTGTCTATAATGATATTATCCATTTGAAAAGAAAGTAATTCATGGGAAACAAAAAAAAATACTTTGTGAAACATTATGCAGGTTCCTTTATAAAAATCTAAATCTAAGGAAAGAAAATGGTATATATGATGCAATGTAATATTTTACATATTGTATTTTGATCATTTCGTTGTCATACATGTATCAAATGTAAACTACAACCATAATTGTTTGTCTTGAATAAATACAATGTATATTATTAAAATGATGATATCAATTTGTTGTATCTTTTTAACATACATATGTAATATATCCTTCATCTTTTTTGCTAAACAATTAAATTCTGTACTAAATGACTAAACCACTGCTCTGTTTTATGAGACACGTTTTATTACTGGTACATTCTTCTAAAATGATATATGTTCAATTGCATCCATGTGTTTGTGAGTATCAAATGCATCGGACCTTTAAAATTAATAAATGACTTTATGAAGGAAACAAACATTTTTGAATTTTGTCCCTGAATCATCTAAATGTTCATACATGTACATGTATCATGTGTTTACAACTTTGAATCTTTGAATATATTGCATCAAGCAGATAACATGGCACCATTCAAATGAATAGCAGAGCACCACACAAATCCAACAGGTCTTATTACTGTCAGTATTTAACATACAACAACAATAACATGATGATGGAAAACTTGATAGTAGTGTACAATTACAGCCATAATAATTAATCTCATAAAAAAACATGAGTAATGCATCAGAGTCAAGGAAGTTACTTTAACAGTGGAGTAAGACAGACTTTCAATGCTACTAATGTCAAACTTCCAAATTTTTTCAGATTCTGACTATACATTTAGACTTGAAGAACATTGACAAACACAACCCATACAATGCAAAAATAGAAAAATAATTAAATCACTAGTTATTCTGCAGTATGCACACCAACAACTAACTTGACCTAAAAATATAATAAATCTCATCTCACTTCAATATATCAAGGTCCATGTACATGTATCTCTCTTGAATCATGATTAATTTCTGATAACAATGGAGTTTTTATTTTAGTTTTTGCATCACATAAAAATTTAGATAGACAGACAATGAAAAAAAGTGATTACAACATGTTATATGGCACCTATATTTGACTGGGGGAGGGGGAAGATTCTCCAGACAAAACATCAGTCCTCTTAAAACACAAGATTCTGTAAACTTGCATTGGGTCTAAGATCAAATACAGTGTATTTATCCTCGAGTCTTTGATGTGATATGTATCCAACACCCTGACATATATATATGTTTCAAACACGAAACATTTCCTATTCATTTGAGTACATTCTTGATTATATATAGCTATCTACATACAGTAACAGAAAACCTGTTTTATATAAATACTGCAGGCAATGTAGAGTAGCTTTGGCAAAATTTTCGTATAGTTGAATATGAACAAAAATAAATGAGATACATGAAAATCATTTACAATTCATGCGCAAAATGTTCACTCTTCAATGTTTATCATAATGAATCAGTCACTCACTCTATGATGATGAAAGAAAGGGTTTCATTATAAACTGTAACCTAATCATGAACAGGTTTCCATCAGCAATGTGTGAACAAAAAAATATCATGAATAATACTTGTACTTGTCTGATAGTTGTCAAACAATGAAACCCAAATGCTGGACCTGAGGTTGATATGATAATGGCAAATTTGAACATCATTCCATAATTTATAATAAGTTTTTTTTAAATACCTTTTTTTCAATAGAAAGTTACACATGTTATAAAAGAAATATGTAAGCAAATTTGTGTATGCATAGAGCATAAATGAATAGGGATTTAACTTGATTACCTCATAATTTTTTGGTAAATTGATCATAGCAGTAGCTTAAAAGTAAATTATTTTATAAAAATTTGGTCTTGTATACTTTAAAGTGAAGTTTACAACCAATTTGATAAAAATAAGTTTCATAGCAATCAACCTCTAGAAATAATTAAAACAACAAAAAAATTAATAACTAAAATTAAGCAATATTCATTTTAAAATTATGGATGATCCATCAAATCAAAATATACTGATACTATTCATTTTATTTAAATAACCAAATGTAAAATTAATATAAATAAATAGGGAACTTCTTATCATTTCTTTACTACTTCTTTCATAAAAAAAATTGGAAAAAAATTAACTTCATTCCAACATATGGAAACACACTGCTAACTCTGGATAAAAAGTTTAAGTATATTAGTTAGAATGTTAAAAAATACAATTCCTTATACTAATGAAATTAATGGAGTTAGTCTTTTCTTTGTGTTTGGTATGTTTCCATCCACAGTTGAACAATAATTCTCTTGACTGTGTTTTATTACAGCTCCTCATGCTTTTTACTGTCTTGATTTGGGTTTCTACACATCTTATGGAAGTCACACTTGTCTACCTGACTTTTGTAGAAATCCCTGACTTGGTCATATGGACAGACTTTCTTTCCACATGCTGGAATGTCTACTGGCTTCTCATTCACGTAAAATTTGACCACATACACCGAGTCATCAGTTGTGTCATCCTGATCATCTACAGAGTCACACTGAAACAGAGCCACTGCAAAATTACCAGAAAACGGCAGCACTTTACTGGCTCGGAACTTTCTGTTGTTTTGATGGATTTTGAAATTGTCTGCCTTTAGTTGTGGATCATCCTTAAAGAGACCAAGTGCTGCATAAAGCGGAGCTAAAGTCTCTGCATGTCCAAAGCCAAATACAGCAGCCTCAAAACTGGTAAAAAAAAATATAAAAGAAAACTCTTTCATTCAAGTAAAATTTCTTCATAATTTAAATAAGTTTATCACATACAAATATTATTATAAAGAACAATTAAAGTGTCCAAATTTAGCACTCAATGTTAATTTCACATCTAGGAAGGAAAATATTTATGAATAACAAAGAACAAGTTTTCCTCATAAAGTATTTGGTACGATTTTATATTTCAGTAAACAAGGGGCCAAGACTTCTCAATGACAACATTTCAGTAAATAAGGAGCCCAGATTTCTCATTGACAACATTTCAGTAAACAAGGAGCCCTGATTTCTCAATAAAAATATTTCAATAAACATGCACCACTGTTTTCACTGTCACATTTCAGTAATTATGGGCTCAGATTCATTTCAGTAAACATGGCCTCAAATTTCTCACCATCAACATTTCAGTTAAAATTTCTGTAAACATGAAGGATTTTCTCACCTGCAATATTTTAGTGAACATGGTCTTAGATTTCAACATTAATTAAAAAAAAAATTCTTACTCCTCATCAGCGTTGTTGGCTTGTATGACTTTGTCCAAAGTTGTGAATATGCTGCTCACAAGTGGACAACTCATGGCTGATGAAATATCATGTCCATACATTTTCTTCCAGTATTGCTGCCAAAAATAAAATTCTTAATTTCTAAGTCTTCAAAAATAAATCAACAAAGACTCAGATTAACATGATGTCTCCATGCAGAACTTACTTTGGTACACTTATTCTTTATAAAAAAAAAAATTCAAAAGTTATCATGTTATGATTATTAATTTTTAGGCATGGTATTCTATCGAGCTATACTGACCTTGAGGTCATTCATATACTGAATGACCTCTAGGTTTTCCTCATCAAGAAATTGGCACCACTGAGACCCTGATTCTGTTAGGGCCTCCTCAAAAGCACACAACTGATGTATTGTATTTAAGTCATCTGGAAAGAAATATTAATGCTGTTTTAAAATTTGATGTCACACAAAAAAATTCAATTAAAAAAAAGCATGAATTGGTGCATACTGGCAAAAAAATTCTAAATGACTATCCCAATTATTTCTAATTTTACTATCAAGTCATGTAAACTGTATGTGTTTACTGTCTCTCATTTGACACAGAACTGTCATTTGCACAAATTATTTTTTTTTTTCAATTTAGAATGTAGACTTTAATGCATTTTCCTTCACCAATGATCCAACCAAGATTCAGAACCCCTAGGATAATTGTCTATTAAAAGGATGTACCTGGCGTTACACCTGCTTCTTCAGGTAAACCTAAAACGACACTTAGTTTTTTTGCAATAAGAGCCACCTCAGGTCCATACTTGAATTTAGAGTATTCACTAGTAGCTGTTTTGTTATTGTCAACTGTTTCACTGAAATGAACACAATTGTCATGAAATCGCATTGCAATATCATTAATTTCTGGTTCCATTGTCTTGTCCACTTCCCCAAGAACTGTCCGAGAAAGTCCAGAGTAAAATGCAAGACTGCTGGCATGGCTTCTCTGTTTACTGGAGGACACAACATGAACACTGTCCATATCTTCATCAAACAACAGATTAAATCTACGAGCGAATCTCTCCCCCAGCAGTTCTTGCTCTTGCTGCCCAAGTTCTGCAATAATCTTATCACTCTCCTCTGGAAAAGGATTCGACCAAGATCTCAAGAATGGAAAGCGTTCATCAACACCATTTTCTATTAATTTTTTATGCAATGCTGACATTCTCTTGATCCATTTGAGACTGGGATACCTGGCACCGTGACGTAATACCGCATTTAAATGAATGACTTGGCATGCTTTGTCACCATAGTCAAACCAGGTTTCAGAATCATCAGTGACAATTTCTTTTTCATTGTAAAGCCAAAAATATGGAGTCTTTGTTGAGTAACTCGCTGTTTGAAACGAAGACAAAGAATAAATCACATGAACATACTCCAGGCATAGATACTCCAGGGAAATAATGAGAATCAGCTGCGTCCTTGTGAACGCTGACATCTTGGATCGCCGGTATAAGATAATACTTACGTAAACTGAGTCGAGAAAATATTTACTTATTTTGTTTGTAAGAAAGAAAATTTTTGAATATTTAGCTCTAACGACCAATTAAAGATACAAGGAAAATAATTGATAATATTTATGATTTTACGGTTTTTTTTTTGTTTTTTTTTTTGTTTTTTTGTTTTTTTTGTTTTGCTCCTCGAGGAATATTAATGAATAATATATAGAACAACTTAATCAAATGGAACATTTCACGATTTCCGGTTGTAAATGAAAGTGGTTGTTTGGTTTTCGTTTTGACGTTTTTCAAATCATAGTTTATCATTATGAGTGGAGATAAAGGGAAAGAGAAAAGTCTGCATGTAAGTAATTTCATTTCTTATCGAACAGGACTAGAATTCGCCGTCGTTTGGACTTCTTACAAATAAAAAAAAAAAAAAAAGCATGGACACTGGTCAGGTCTGGTACAGTCACTAGATTTAGCTATGTAGCTTGAATTACCTACATAGCTTTATTTACCTACCTGAAGTAGCTTTATTTAGCTACTAAATGAAACTTAATTTTTAAATTAGCATTTTCCCCAGAAATTGCAGAAAATTGCACTTTGTTGCAGTGATAATTTTAAACTTTGAACTCATCTGAAAACAATTCATGAAAAAAATCACTCTTGGAGATGTTTGTTTTTCTGGGCAATTGCAATCAAAGTTCTAAAAGTTTTGGGCTATATACAGCAGTTAATTTGTGACCTAACAGTTACTTCTTGAGTGAATAACAAAGAAAACCAGTTTTGGTTAACATTAGCAAAATGTGAAGTAATCATACTTATCCATGCCTCATTGCACACAAGGTCATGTACAGTTACTCAAACAATGGAAATACATCTTTTCCTTAAAAGTGTTCAAACACAGCTATGTTAAAACTATCTCTGCTTTAGATTGTTTTCTAAATAATACCTAGAATAAATATTGAGTCCAATCTACATACGTAGCAGTTGATAAGTATCTAGATATCTAAACCTACTAAAAAGTAGATACTTCTACCTACTTTTATCTGTTACCATAAAATAGTAAAAAATAATGAAGGCGCATCTTTAAAACAGGTCAGACTTGTTGTTTATTGTGTGCTCTTGCATATTGCATAGCAAAATTTGGGGTGTAACTTTTATGAGGAAGAGGAGAGGAAATGCATGAAAAAAATCGCCCCAAACCATGCATGAAGTTTTAAATTTAATTTAGATTTGTAAGAAATTTAAAGCTTCTTTCCACATAGCTTTGATCCTTAGCTCCTAGAAAATAGAACTGGGTGTAGATATTGGTGCAAAATTAATAAGTTAGAAAGTAATCATTTTTTGGCCAAACTTTTCATCGTATTCGTTGTCAATGTGACTTTATCAAGAAATTTGGTACTCACCATATTGTGAGTTTCCTGTGTTTGGCCACGAAATGCAAGTAAAGCCAAAAGTAGGTAAAAATAACTACTTGGAGTAGGTTTAAATAGCTAGGTAGCTATAACTAGCTAAGTAAGTAGAAAAAGTCTTTGGACTGGGTCTGATTAGCTCCACTTTTATATTGTGCATGTGCGGGGTAGAGTCAGAGAAGAGACCATATTGAAAAGTAGGGATTTAGGTACACCAGCTTGTCTACCTTTTTACAACTTAATTGTGCTGATCTAACTTCAAAGAGGTGAGAATTAAGTAAGGGAATGATTCTTTTACTACGATGTTTGTCGCCTGGATGGTGCATTTTTAATACAGTGCTTGTTGCCCGGGTGGCACAGTAGTTAGAGAGTCTGCTCTAAAGTCTCAGAGTAGGAGTTGATCCTTACGTCGCAGGTCTGAATCCACTGCGGAACGTGGAGACCAGTCCTTTGGATGAGACTGTACAAACCAAGATTCCGTGTCACAGTAGGTTTTGGCACAAAAAAGATCCCTCACTGCTCAATGGCCCTGAGTGCCATGCATAGGTTAAGATTTGCAGCTCTCCACCGGCAAGTGGTGGCGTCTCCATATGGGTGAAAATTTCTTGAGAGGGACGTTAAACAACATACAAACTAACAATAATATGATGCTTTCGTTGTTAAAATGGTCCTATCACCAATAAATCAAATGAAGCATCTTTTTGAATTAGGTTGTCTCGTCACCATTAATTTCTTTGCACATGACATCATCATGTACAGATACAGAAAAAATTGCAATCGGTATCAAACTAGAGAAAACAATAATGTTTTAAATATTTATTAATCAGGAATGTAAATGCCTAAAATGGTCCTAATGCTTATATGCGCACAAATTTGGCAGCATCTCAACACATGATATGTTCACATGACAGTTTATTTGTGTTTGTGTGCTGAAGTCATACTCAAAGAAATTAAATGGTGAAGAGGCTACTTAATTTAAAATGATGCTTCATTTGTCAGTTATTTAGCAGTTTAAATTTAAACCATGAAAGCATTGTGTTAGTGGCAAATAAGTTGTAGAAGAATCTTAAATCTAAAAGAGTTATGACACCAGATGGTGTCACTGATTTCCCACTTTTCAACATGGACTTAGCTCTGACTCGGGTAGATTAAAGTTTGTGGAACTTTGTTCAAGTCATGCAGAAATGAATTATTGCATCAGGCTGTATGAAAAACATCCACAGTACCCCAAACACCAAATTTGCCTCAAAAATAGTGTCCTGCCCTTCCTTTTAGGTCACCTGAGTCATTCAGGTGACCTATTTCTATCCGTTTTTACTTCACCTGAGCCAAAGGCTCAATTGAGCTTTTCTGATCACATTTTGTCCCTCTGTCTGTAAACTTTTCACATTTTCGTCTTCTCAAGAACCACTGGGCCAATTTTAACCAAACTTGCCACAAAGTATCCTTGGGTGAAGGGGAATCAAGTTTTTTCAAAAAAAGGGTCATGCCCTCTTTCAAGGGGAGATAATTAAAAATTAGTAGAAAAAAATTAATAGCATCTTTTAAAAATCTTCTTCTCAAGAACCACAGGGCCAGGAAAGATGAAACTCATGTGGAAACATTCTTAGGTAGTGTAGATTCAAGTTTGTTCAAATCATGACCCCTGGGGTAAGGTGGGGCCACAATGGAGGATCAAAGTTTTACATAGAAATATATAGGAAAAATCTCTGAAAATCTTCTTCTCAGGAACAGCAAAGCCCTGATTGGTCATATTTATAAGGAAGCATCCTTAGGTAGTAAAGATTTAAGTTTGTTCAAATCATGTCCCCCAGGGGTAGGGTGGGGCCACAATGGAGGATCAAAGTCTTACATAGAAATATATGTAGGAAAAATCTTTAAAAATCTTCTTCTCAGGAACAGCAAAGCCATGATGAGTCATATTTATATGGAAGCATCCTCAGGTAGTGTAGATTCAAGTTTGTTCAAACCAAAACCCCCGGGTTTAGGGCGGGGCCACAATGGACGATCAAAGTTTTACATAGAAATATATTGGAAAAATCTTTAAAAATATTTTCAGGAACAGCAAAGTCCTGATTGGTCATATTTATAAGGAAGCTTCCTCAGGTAGTGAAGATTTAAGTTTGTTCAAATCATTATCACAGGGGGGTAGGGTGGGGCCACAATGAAGGATCAAAAGGTTTACATAGGAACATAAAGGAAAAAAATTTCTTATCAAGAACAGAAAAGCTATGTTCAGTCATATTGATATGGAAGCATCCTCAGGTAGTGTGTCAACTTTGTTCATATGATGACCCTTGGGATAGGGAGGAGCCACAATGGGGGATCTAATTTTTATGAAGGAATATATAGGCAGAATTTTTAAAAATTTTCTCAAGTACAACAAAGCCATTTGTTATATTGACATGTTAACATGAAAGCATCATCAGATAGTTTAAAATTCAAGCCCCCCCCCCCCCCCCCTGTAATCTTTTCAATACTGAACTGATTTGTGCTTTTGCCTAGCCAATGTGCTCAGGTGAGTTGTCATGCATCGTCCCTTGTGCATCGTGCGTTAAGTTGTTACATGTAACATTTGAACATTTTCAACTTCTTCTCAGGAACCACTAAACCATTTTCAACCAATTACAACCAATTTTGGCATATAGCATCTTGAGTGAAGAGGAGCAAAAGCTGTGAATTTCATGATCCCTGCCCTCCTGGGCCTGAGAGGTGGGGCTAAAATGACCAAAATTAATTCAATCTTTAAAAATCTTCTCTACTCCTGGACATCAAGCAGTCAGTATGTTGGCATGATTGTAAATAAGCATTGAGCCCTCTACCAAAATTGTGAAATTCATGACCCCAGGGTCAGGGGTTCTGGTGCTAGGGTGCTTCTATACTAATTTGATTATTAATATGACTAATCATGGATTTGCTGTTCTGGAGAAAAAGATTTTTGAAGATTTTTTCCTATGTATTCCTATATAAAACTTTGATTGCCCATTGTGTCCCCCCATAGGGTCATGATTTGAAACTTGAATCTACACTACTATATGGAAGAATGCCTCCATATAAATATGACCAATAATGGTTTTGAAGTTCTTAGAAGAGTTTTTTTAAAGATTTTTCCTATGTATTTCTAAGTAAAACTTTGATTGCCATTATGATCCATCTCTACCCCTGGGGTCATGATTTGAACAAACTTGAATTTACACCATGTCAGGAAGCTTTCACTTAAGTTTCATCTTTTCTGGCCCAGAGGATCTTAAGAAGATTTTAAGGTCACCCGAGTCACTCAGGTGACCTATTGCTATCCGTTTTCGTCCGTCGTCGTGCGACGTGCGTTAACATTTGAACATTTTTAGCTTCTTCTCTGAAACCGCTTAACGAATTTCAACCAACTTTGGCATAAAGCGTCTATGGGTGAAGGGGAACAAAAATTGTGAATTTCATGGTCCCTGCCCCCCTGGGGCCTGAGGGGTGGGGCTAAAACCACCAAAAATAATGCAATCTTTAAAAATCTTCTTCTTTACTCCTGGACATCAAGCAGTCAAACTGTTGGCATCATTGTAATTAGCATTGAGCCCTCTACCAAAATT